TCCCAGGAACCCAGCTTTGGAAACCACCAGAGATACAAAAGGGCTCCTGGCAATTAGCCAGCTCCCAGCAGAGCTGATTCAGGTCTTCTCTCCTTCCCACCACGTGTACCTTTTTCCACTGCCTGCAAAGCTATCCTTGGTACCAGTCCTGCCATGCAGGATCCCCTCTATGAACCCAGGTACTCACAGGCACAGGGTACTTGTCCCCACAAACAGCTTTGAACTTGGCCACATTCTGCCCTTTATAGTGGCAGCCTCCGGGTCTCAGCCACCTTGCTTCTGTTTTTAAAACAATACCAGAAACTATTTGTAGTTACAAAAATAAAGGTGGGAATTTTTTTTTCTACTGCTCTGCCCTACTGTGTCGGATCTCAGCAGAAGTGAAACTGGCAGGGGCACAGCCTACTCCCTCCGAGGGCCGTGCACCCACAAACACCCCTCTAACTCCCAGCGTGTCTCCCACCACATGGGAGAAAGGTCCCACCCTGCCCCGGTGACCCTTAGTGTTTGGAGATGCTCTCCTGCCCCCGCAGCTGCCCCTAAGCTTCTCTACTTGCCCAGCTGCTTCTTCACTTGCCGTAATTGTGCACTCTCTGCACATGACCTGCTAGAAAGCAAGTGCTCCTGAATTACTGGACATACAGGATCATCCTCAGCAATTCCATAAAAATAGTCAATTGCAGCAATACACTTTGCAGGGAAGATATCCAGAGACAGGAACTGAGTTTTATTTATATTGGCCAAAAATAAAGCCCTTGTAGTGGGTTACAGCTTTTGTGGGATGGGTTCCTGCTTTTGTCTAGCATGAGTCCCACTGGAGCAACATCCATTTCTCTGGAACTGGAAAATGCATGTGACCTGCACGGCTCTTGCTTTGGCTTTAGCTGGAAGTGAGCAGAGTAATTCCTGCAGAAAACCCTGCCAAGGGCAATTTTACTTAGAAACAGAATGGGGTAAGGAAAGATTTATGATGATTCAAGAATGACCCAAGGGGAGGTGGACACAATGAGGCATGTTCCTGAATCATTGGTGGAAGTCCATAAAGGATATTTACAATTCAGGGGAAGTTCCTCTGTCATGTTCTTGGCACTTTCTCATAAGGACTTAAAGGCAAAGACGGGAAAATACATTGTCTAAGTTACTGTTTATAAACAGTATGTGAAGATTCACAGCCAGAGCAAAAAGCCTGCGAGCGAGGAGAGCATCCGGCGCAGGAGCCGGGAGGCTGTGAGCCACGCTCCTGCTCAGCCCGCATGGGAGCTCATCACGCCTCAACCCTCCTCCATTCTTCGACCGCCAGTGTGAGCCCCGCGACATGGACATGGTGGGTTGGAAAGTCTCAGTGCCCTGAGCACCATGGGCCGGGGCTGGATCCTTCTGCACCTCCTGGGGGGGCTCAGGCAGGCCCAGCTCATTGCGAGTTGGCTCTGTGGCAGCGTGGGGACGTACCCACGGGGCTCCCGTGCCATGGGGGCAGGTGCCGAGCTGAGTCCTGTCAGGGTCGTGCCCACGGCTCACCCCACTGTTCCCCCCCAGCCCCAGGCTGGGAG